TTGTAAAAACAAGCGTCACACAAAGCAGTGAGGTGACTAACTTAGAGGTGAAAACTTTCACCTATGATGTAGGAAAGCAAGAAAGAGGCAGTAGTAATAACAAAAAATACAATTTGAATTAGATCAAATGAAAGAAAGAATCTAGTCCCTAAAAGCCAATCTCCTGCTGCTTAGGGCTCTCATGTTAGAGGTGAGACCTGTACTTAAATGCAAGCCTGAATCAAGAAAGACAGAGACTTGAATTTCCCTTTCCATGTGTCCTTTGATTTGGTGTCCAACCTCCAGAAATACTGCAGTAGAAAGGAATAGCTGTTTTTTCTCACCACCGCCACGCTCTGCTCAGAGAGGAATTCCATCCTGAAAAAGGACACAACTTGGGTCTAGGAAAGTTTTTTTCAGGATGATCCATTTCTTAGAAAAAGTTATAGCTTAAACAGAATTTAATTGTCCGACAAGAGCTCATTTTCTCTGAAGATTCTCATCCTGCTCTCCCCATAGTAGATCATGTTCCAGGCTTGTTTTCAGCCATGGTACAACATAAAGCTCATAACCTGATACACTTTTGTCATAGCTGACACTAACACTGCCATACTGATAGAAAGGGAAGACTAGGGCTGTCAGTCTGCCACCTTTCTTGAACACTGAAGTCATGCTTTTTTTTCCTCCCTTTTCCTTAAAGACAACTTCTTTGTTGCCATGGTACCACTAATGCAGTATTTTGAGACAGGGAAAGAAGATAACTGTGCATCAGCACAGTGACACATCTATCAACTGCCATTCTCTCAGGAAGGGTAAATAAGTAAAGATGCCAATGCAGACTTTTAAAGGCTTCCCCACCCATTTAAATTTTTCCCTCTCACATACAATTCACTGTCTATAAAGTTCATGCCTTGGTTTTATTACAGAGAAGGTCAAAATTTATCTCACAGCAAGCAGTGTCCAGAGTTATTTTTTAATTCCTTCTCTTCTCCTTGTGCTACATGACACCAGCTGAGGTGCACACTCACAAGAGAACAGTACCTGCATGTTCAGAAAATGCCAGCCAGGCTCCCCATGTTAAACCACACAGTGACCCCTTTGCAATTCTTGCTCGTACAGTGATTTCTTCCCGAACTAACAAGGTACCCACTGCTGAGAACAACCCACATTCATCTCAACAGCAAGAGAAACAAAAAGGGGCGTTCCGATGGTGTCTCCCATACACCACCTTCAGCTCACCAGGTGTGATACTGTTTGCTTTGCAGCCTTGGAGTCCTCCCTATCACTGCCAGAATCACTTTAAAAAAAAGCCTTTACTAACTTAGGAAGTCAAGGCTTGGACTCAGTACAATGGCATTTCCCTCCTTGACTGTGCATACAGGAACATTGAATCAGGTCCCTTCCAAAATTTCAAAGAAGGCTCTGCACACTGCTGGTTCAATTTTGTTATGCCAGTAAATTCAGGGAACAGTCATAGTGAGAGATGCCCACATCCCAGTACACTCCCTGACTTTGGGTCCGGATCAATGAATAGGCAACGACAGACACAATGACTCTCAGCACAAGCCACTGCCACAGTGGCATTCACAGTGCTGACAGGATGAGATTTTTCATCCCCCCAGAGGGTACAAAAGGAGGAATAATGTGATGAAATGAGAACTTGTATAAGCTGAATTTACCAAGCCTTCTGCAACAGAGAAGAGAGCAAAGAGCGACAAGCAAAGCAGTGACAAAAGGTCAAACTGAAAGGATCTCTGGTATGAGTCAAGAATTAAACAGTGAGCACAGAGTCCTCTAGCAAATAAAAGTATTTTACATTTGGGAGAGAGAGGAAAGGGGAGAAGAGGGAGGAGAAAGGAGGATCTCAGCTGCTGTTTCTCTTATTTGGGGACATAACAAAGAATAAGTTGTCTCTACTCAGCACTGAAGAGCTCTCACCTCTTCAAAGAGGAATCTAATCGGGATCTTTATGCTCTCATGTACTTCTTTTTCTCATCCACAAAACCTTGTTCTTAGTTTCACCAATTTGACCCAAGGCACAATGACTCACCACAACAAAAGGCTGGACAGCAGCTCTGTTTTTTTGTTTTTTTTTTTTTCAAAGACCTAAATAAACCCTACTCCATCAATTGACCAAGGACGATGCAACAGCAAACCTCTCACTGAAGGCTGTGCGTTGCCTTGGCAACCTGTCTGATCTCCACTGCTCCAGGGACTGGAAATGTTCTGCCAACAGGAGGTTTTAGCTAATCAAACCAAATCTCTTAATACTTAGGCGATTTCCCATCTGTGGAGAGCAGGCCATGTGCCCATGGAAAGCAGGGCACCCTCTGAACACAGCCCTGGCTCCTCCTTGACCTGTAACTCGTTGGCTCTTTGTAGGCCACAGGCATCTCCAGACAGGTTCCAAAGGAGATGAGGGAGTGGCAAGAGGCCACAAGGTGCTTTCTGTCTGCACAGCAGCTCACGCCTGCACTCAGCACATACCTGGCTGTATGCAGGGAAGACAGGCAGCAGGACACTGGGCAGCAGGACCCTCACAGGGGCCACACCCCAACCCCTGACCTTCGAAAGAAAACAAAGTTTCCAGTATTGGCATCACACACTCCCTACAATCCTGGTGCTGCTTCTTTTGAGCCTTCCCGAGCCACTGCGTCCCTTTTTCAGCTCCCATTTAACACGTCCAGATAACAGCAGTGGCAAACTGCTGATCAAAGAGAAAAAGTGGGACAAGTGTGTATCCCTCGACCTTCCTAGATCAGGGACTGCTGTCAAACGTCAGCGCAGAACACCTGCTTTATTCTAAAACTTCTAACTGGCAATGCTAAAAGGGCAGCTTTAGTGCCTAATTTTGCCTTGAAAGCACAACCAGTAATTGATTTTTTTTTTTTTTCAAGGAAAAGCCAGACCAACCTTTATACATTCCACTAAAGGTTTTCAGCCCCTGCATTTAAGCCCAGCCACAAACACAGACGATCTGTCTGGCATTTAGCAAACCAAGGGGCCATAAAAAGAGGCATGAACATCAGCGGGGAGAGAGTAATGTTCTACAGCCCTGCTGCTGCTGAGGCAAGAAGTTCTGTGTGGTGGTGATGAGATTCACATCCGTGAAAAGCCCACAGTTACCATCTAACAACCTTGAGAACTACATCCCCTAAAATGGCTGTGGCTGTGCCCTTTCCATGTCATTGCCAAAGGAAATCAGGGTGTTAGAGCAGTAGACTCAACTTTGGCATTCAGGCTCTACTTCCCCTCCTGGATCATTCTTTACTGTGTCTCAGAGGACACCAATCCACCACTCTCTGAACCTAAAAGCCACAAGTCCTACACTGAGTTTCATTCCACGCAGGTGGTTTGTTGCCAGATTAACTTCTGGTATTGCCACAATTGATAAGAGGGATCCTTAGGTATCTTTCATCCTGATACAAAGGATGTCTGCACAGGGGATGCTGCTCCACCACACAGCTTCCTGGGAGCTGGGCTAGCCAGCAGCCTTAGGCTCCAGCTCTTGAGGAACAGGATGGAGGAATTGTTGGTATATAACAGGGAGCCCTGAAGCGGAAGGCTGCTGCTCATAAAGCAGGGTGTGGTTTCAAAGAAAGAGCATATTGTGGAAGATTTCTAGGCCTCTGGTATCGACCAAGTGACCCACGCCCTGGGAAAATATGTTCTAACAACAACCAAAGCCATTAAAACAAATGCTTGGGGGAAAAAAAATGTCAGTGGTTTCTAGAGTCGTGTATTTAACCGAGTGAAGAGCTTAGCAAGTACTGCCACTTCCTCCCATGGTACTGTGAACATTTCTCTATCCACATTAGTGTAACAAACCAGTTAACCAGTTACTAGGGCTGCATGGAGAATGGCGTGAACTGAAGTCATCGTTCAGATAACCCAGGGCTCTGTGAAGGGAAAAGCAGTGAAGTCCTGCAGGCATAAGAAAGAGGGAACCAGAGGTGGTTTTAAATGGCCAGGAGACCAACTGACTACCTATGTGTGCTTTCCCAGTTTATTCTTTCCTATATCATGCCTTCTTCTATTCCAGGCACTCCTCAGTCTTCCTTAATTCTCACCTCAGCCAGAAATTGAAAAGTTCAGCGGAACTGAATCAAAGATTGGTACTTATGCCCAAAATATCTGCCTCTACAGGCCATGGAAAGTCAAAAGCAGAGTGGTCACTGATTTGATGGGGAGCAGGAACGGTCTCAGAGAAAACAAATGTTTATGATGTAATCCGCCCTCAATAATTCTTTTGTAAAAGTGACGTGCAGGGCAGGATCCCTGCACTACAAAACCTGCAAGAAGGGCCTTCTCCAGATGAACGCGACCACAGCACTGTCTCAGAGGATTTATTTGCGTTAACAAGTTTCAAAGCATCTACCCAGAGCTTCTTTCAAGCTGTGACATCTGACTGTTCTCAGGGATAAATGGAGAGCCATGCCACTTCACAGCCAGAAGAAGAGAAGGGGGGAGGCAGATAGAGGCGAGTGTTAGCCAAAACAGATGCAATGGAGACAGACTAAAATAGATTCCATGTACTTCAAGGGCTTCTGCAGTGCTGATGCTCCAGCCCAGCCCACGTGTGCAAACATTCTGCAAAACACTTGACATAAAAGACCATAAGAATAAAGTTCAGCATGTTCCTGGGATGTTTTCAGACACACTGAAGTCAAGCTATGAAGTCTATTTACTACTTTATTTTGATCCCTTCAGCTGTTTTCTCCCACAGCCATCACACTGAGTTCCTTTTTTTTTTTGAACCAACCTCAGTCACAAATACGTGCAAGCACCCGTGGCTTCCCTTGCACAGTGATCAGATATGCCCTCTGCTTAACAGGAATGCAAATACTTTGCACTTTTGTAACTCATTATGGATCCAGAATTATGGTCTTACTACTGCTTTACAATAAAATCTGATATTATAGCAGGAAACAAAACAATGTAAAAGCAGAAAAGAGAAGACTAACTCCTATTTCATTCCTCTCAATTTCGAGGACCTTTATATTTCAAGAAAACTAAAGCAGCCTGCAAATCCAAGTAAGAAGTGAGGGTCACACAGGGTTTGCTTTTCAAACTGTAATTGTCACCAAAGTAACAAAACAGGAAAGCTATCTTCTCACCAAGAAATAGCCCCAAAGCATTCCAAACATGAGACTTACCTAATCACACCTACACAAAGCAGCAAAACGAGTCAAACCAGCAATGAAATTTCCCAAGAACACTTTTCTCACAAATAACACATTTCAAAACTTTCTTCCTGGGACAGATTGCTGAATCCTCGGACTCTGTGGTGATCACACAAGCTGGGCAAAGCTGTAGAAAGACACAGTCCTGAGTTTGAAAAACAGGAGTGGTGCAGGTGCTCTTGCCCTTTTCTCTGCATGTGCTTGTTGATTTAATATCCCAAGGAAGAAGGAACCCCGCTGGTTGGTAAACATGTGACAGCCACCAAAGGAATGCTAGCCAGGGAAACAAGATAAAGCTGCCTATGCCACTTCCAATGGTGCTGATTTAAAAACTACTACCTCACCTGTAGCTTTCCTACTGCTCTCACCTTAGGAGTGCTAGTCTTCATTCAAACAATTATCTTGCTGTCAAATTTGCCTAAAAAAAAATTTGCCATTCATTTATCAGGAAGTTGTAAGTTATTTTCTCTCCTGTACAGATGTATAATTTATTGCCCAGCTTAAATCCACACTCTGGTCGTAAGTATTTTGGATCCACTTTAGAGATGTACATTTTCCATCAAATTTACACAAATTTGCAGTGAAAAAGTAAGGATCACAGCAGTCTAAAACAAAGAGTTTCCTCTCCAAGGAGCACTTGCCATGCCTCAACCAGTCATTACTTCCCTGAATCACTGCTCACCCTCTAGCCAGGCCCTGTTCCATCTCTGCAGGTTCCCAGGCTGGAAGGGCAAAGCTGTGCCAGCAGCAGCTCTGTGCTTGCTGATGGGAGTTGTGTTACACAGAGGTAACAGCTGTTCTTAGAGCAGAAGGTGTAAGCACAGCACTGATCCGAATGCATACCAGGTCATAGACCTTCTACACACCCATGAACAGCTGGAGATTTCATCTTGGAGACTGGCTCTTATCAAGTCACACTTCACTGCAAAAATGTACCAAAAAAAAAAAAGTAGAGAATGGACTTCAAGTTTGTTTTTATTTTCTTTTTTAATTCATTTTAACCTTAATGTATATTTTAAGGAAGGCTCTGTGATACTTACTGTGAGATCACATGCTCTTTTCACCATCCACACAAGTGCTGCTTTGAACGTGCATTTTGGATGTAGTTTTGAATCCCAGTTGAAGAAGGGCTATTTTCCCTCAGCATTCAGGGCAAATCCATCCCCACTGTCTCTGCCTGCAAAAGGTCTCTCTTCTGTGAAACTGAAGCTCCTCCCAGCAATTTACTAATTAGTGGAAAAAAATTGTTTCCAGCTTCTGGAGTACCTGGTGTTCCTCAAAAACAACATGGAAAGGCTGTAAAATAAAAATCACACAGCTACTCACAATGCTCAAAACGTGAGAGAGAATGGGGAAGGTAGATAGAAAATGGGAGGAAGGGAGTACACAGACCTGGCTGCTCACAGCCAAAAGAGCTTTGGCCCCACTGCCTGCAGCAATTTGTAAGCTGGCTCTAATCTGCTCTCAGCAGTATCTTGCCTCTCTAAGGCAAACTGCTCCCTGAGGCAATTTTCTGCAGGTGTTCCTAATGCAACTCTTTTTTTCCCCCTCCAAAAAAAAAAAGGTGTTCTCATGATCCTGTTTATAAAAGCTGCTACCTGGCAGATCCCTGAAGAGTAGTCCAGACTGGTATCTTCAAAATAAAAGCTACTTAGAAAGAGCTCAAGAGGGGGGGTGAAAGTCCTTCTTGAGCAGACATCAAGCCCCTTGACTTACATGAGTCTTGCCACAGCAGAATCCCCGTGGATCAGGCAGCTGGAGAGGGTGTCTGGTTCCCTGGGGTGGGTGATGGCTGCAGGCAAAAGGCATGGGATGGGCAGAGCCTTGCTGAAAAGCCACTGCTGGGGACACATGCCTTTCAGCAAGGCTCTCTCCAGACTCACAGCCTCTCCCCTGTCCCCGTGATGCCAACATCAGGCACGGCTGAGCAGTCCTGCTGACGAGCCGTGCGAGGTCCTAGAGCAGGAGGTGTCAGCTGTGAAACTATGCTAAAAATATGCAAGAGCACAGCAGGGCAACAGGGGAAAGGCGAAGCCTGGTTATGTCACTGAAACCAACTGATTGAGCAGCTTCCATCCATTGCCCAGGAGACTTCTGCTAAGCCAGCGTGGGAAATTTCCCTGCTAATTTTGGAGGGAGCACCAGTCCGTTGAAGATTTGCAGAGATGGGCTGCCAGGAACGGGCCAGGGCAGTTGAGCACACAGGTCTGTGGGTGCATCATTCCCTGTACATATAATTAGTTCCAATGTTGCATGATTGAAAATAAATGTCCATCTAGCAGCTCCAGAAGGGAGGCTGTGAAATGAGTTGCCAAAGAGAAAATGAGGTCTCAGGTTCAGTACAGTTCGCCCAGGAAACCCACCCTCCTTCAAGCCACTGCCACTGAGTTACTGTTGTACCTGAGAAGTTGCTTACTCCAAACTTCTTCCCAATTATTCTTCTGTTTTTCCCTTACTTTTGAACTCTCCCCTTTGTAACTTTCACTGTAGCTCCTAACTACTTTTCTGTGGAAATACAATGCTTATTCACTTTCATTCAAATTTCTCCACAATTCATCAGGACTCATATTTATGGAGGAAAATGGGAGTCTCTACAAGTCATCCACTCTCATTCCCATCCACTCAGCTGCTTTACTTCGTCTCCCATGTTAAGTTCTTACTCTAAACTTTACTCTTGAATCCACCATTTATTAAGTCACAATGGAAAAAAGTAGTCCAGAAATAATAGCACAATAATGTTAAGATAATAAACTCTCCTCCTTGTCAACTCAATGCTACCCTTTTTCTGGTTGTTTTTTCCAGAACTGTTGTGCTAAAAGAGCTAGAGCACAATTGGCAGAAATTCAAATACATTTTCAGATGTAGTCAGTTTTTATTATTATTTGTCAACCACCAGCTAAACTGTAGATATATTCTGTTTATGTCCCACTAAATGTCAAGCTGGTATTTTTAAAACCCAGACAATGTATTTCACATGAACCTTTACACCACTATTTTAAAGATCAAACATCCTTTCACCTGGGAGCCACAGCATGGCTGTTCCCCCAGCAACGGGACGTGCTTCCAGCTTGGCCAAGCCTCAGGATCACTTTCAGTCATCTGCTGCCAAACTGGTGCCTGGCAGGCAATGCTCTTCTTCAAAACTCCATCAGCAGCCTTTTGCCATGAAGCAGCTCTGAGAGACCCCTTCATAAACTGATTTTTAATTCTTGCTTTTAAGGTGCACCAGGCTCCCATCTGTCAGAGAGATGGTGAAAGGGTATTTCAGCCAAGCTTCTTCATTGGTCTGAATTTACCTTTTTAATTTAAAACCACACAAAGTCCTCGCTGCCTTCACATGCCACACATCTTTCTCCCCAGACAGGCAGTGTCTCACCACAATGAGCCAAACCAAGACAAGAGTTGTTCAGACCCACTCTGCTCTCATTTGAATCACAAACCCTGTTATCAAGTGGTGAGGGAAAGGGACAAATGAGGCTTTGCAAACCCTGGGAGAAGGAGGGAGCCAGGGGGTACCCCAGGACCTTAGAGGGTTCCTGAGAGCTCCAGTCCTGCCACCAGCTGTCCTGTTGCCCTTACAGATCCTTACTTACCTCCATGCCCTGTGTCTTCTCATGTCTTTTTGGAGAGCGAAGGGCAGAGAGGGATCCTGGCAACATGATTGCCCTGGGTCTGGATGTGAGATCAACCCCAGCATGGCCCAGTTATGCCAAGGAAAAGAGGCTTTACACTGGTGTGGCTTATTTCATTCCCTTGCAGAGCAGCAGCCATGGGATATCTGCCATGACACTCCACCAGTATTTAGCATACACCACTCTCATTGCAGTTCCTTGCAAAACAATTATCACTGCACACAGCATTTGCTGGAGGGAAACTTGGCTGAACAAAGCCATTAAAGTGCAGGGAAGGCAGGATAGCAATAAAGCTGCACACAGACAGCAATGGCTCACGCTTTCACTTTGCTCACTACATGAAGCCTTTCTCAACGTTCTCTAGACTTGCAAAAACAAATACATCTCCCACTTCTTGGGCTTAAAGTCAAATTATTCTTCCCCCTCTGCGCCAAGCCCTATTCAAGAGAAATATAAGACAAAAGAGCAAACTGCATGCAACAGTCAGGTCGCTGAGTCAAGAGCCCCAAAGCTGGAAAAGCTTATGAAAAGACTTCAGGGCAGTCTTACCAGGGTATGAATATATGAGTGAAACATCTCCGGCGTGTCCTACTGAACTCACCCAGTGTCTCCCAGTACTCCACTCCTGTGGGCTAACAGAGTTCAGGAGCAGGCTACACTGAAAGGAATGTGCCTGTGCCAGACAAGCGTGAAGTCAGAAATATTTACACCACACATTTCTGCCTAAGTCATGTTCACCTGCTGTTTGCTGACAGGTATAGATGACAAGGTCCCGAACTCATGAGGAGGAAACTGTCTTAGCAGAAGCAGTGTTTCAATTAAAGACATGTCTGGACTCCGCAGCATTTCCTTGCAAAAATTTCTATGAGGCAGCACAGACCAAATGCCTTGTTTACCTAAAAACACACTTGAAAACTAACTGAAATGAAACTGTGAGCCATTAGCCACAAACAAGGTAAGCTGAGCCTGTAGTCCAAAATATCAACAAAATCCACATGCCCCCTAAACCTGTAGTAGAGAAATCTGACCTGGTTTACTGAAGTATGCAAAGAGAGAAGTTGTGTCTGTAGATTATTAAGTAAGCAGTAATTTGATAAAACCATTTTCCCTGTGGCTATTCCAGTATGTGCTGCTTGATGGCCAGGCTCGCTACAGCCAGTCTTGTGTTCCTGAACACTTCACAGATGGGTTTTTGGATCCAATTCTAACTTCCACCCCAAGCTTGAACCCCAGGGCTCACTTATTCCACTCAAACAGTTTCCCACTAATTTAATAGCATCCAAAGTGACTCTGAGCAGTCCAGTTCACAGGAACCTGCAGAAGTTTCAGGGGAAACCCAGTGTCTCTGTTGCAACCTACATTTATTCTGCTGGGACAGTGATGGCGGGAAGAAGGAAAGGCTGGAGCAGCACTCAGTTTAATGGGATGCCCAGCAATTACAAGCCAGTAGGCAAATCAACACCCAAAAACAAAGCAAGCAGACAGGCCAACTCAAACTCCACATGAGGTGGATTTCCAAAGGGTAGTTCAAGTCTACTTAGATACCTGAAAATCAGTGGCAAGGATTTTCTCTTTCTAATTAAAGCTGAGTGATTTCTTTTATATATGAAAAAAAAAATAGTCCAACATTGAAAGAGACTGTTTCCAGAAATACAACCCCAACCATTACAATTGCAGATGAGATGAAGGGAGGCTGGAAATCCTCAGAAAAAAATGTCAGATTTTGATCAGAAATCAAGAAAGAAATGATCAGAGTTCTTCACCTTGCAACTGAACGCACAAAGTTCTTTGGAAACATCAGATTAAATAGAGAACTTGTGGGTTACACAAGTCCAGCTTGCAAGCAAGAGTATGGACGAGAGCAGATCTAAATCTCCAAAAATGTAAGTAGAGTCACAGGCAATGACTCTGTCCAGGGAAGGAACAAAAACACAAGTACCAAGGCAGCACATAGGCTATGTAGCTTGGACAAATGAGACAGACCTGGAATACAGGCAAAAGCAAACACTCCACCATGGAAAGTGATATGAGAGGTAGAGAGGGAAATACTCACCCTAACAGATATTTTGAGAGAGATGAGGGAGACAGAACCATACACCAGGAAATTAAAAAAAAAAAAAAAGAAAGAAGAACCAGCAAACAGCAACACATACACCAACTGAAAATAGTGCCAAATAAGAGGAAAATGCCTTCAGAGTTACTTTAGCTAATTAAAACACTTGTCATGTACAAACAATACAGTCCAATCCCAGTGACACTGATAAGCAGCAGTATCAGACTGAAGGAAAGGGACCAGCTGCTTACGATACGCAGTAAAACCATTTGGAGATCCATGAGCAGGCAGCCAATAAGGAGCCAATAAGGAGCTCAAAACACCAGGAATGTTATCAGAAAACCTTCACAGTACTCGACACGGCACAGGCACTGTCATCTGTCCATGCTCAGCACACATGAATGACAGCCAGGGATCTGCCTGGAGCATACCCTGGAGCACAGGGGAAAGGAGGAAGCCAGGGCTGTGCTGCCAACCCAGCCCCGCTCCAGCCGTGCTCCGAAACAAGACAGGAAGAGGGAGGAAGTGAATACTTTAACAGTGGATATCACAAAAATGGTCCTCCAAAACTTTCAGGAACTCTGAAGAGAAACTCAATATTCATGTTCTAGAACATGCAGGGAATCCTCACTTAAAAGAGATCAACCATGTTTCCAGAGTAAATGCAACTCCACTTGAATGCAATATAATTATCTAACAGCACTGTAAAGAAAATAAAACAGTGAAAAAATAGCTATGAGACTATTGTCTCATGTACGGGAGGAGATTCACTATCAGTAAAGGCTCAGTTGCAAGGGTAGTTCAGCTCAGGATTTGACTTGAGGGCAAAAAAAGTATTGTGCTTTCAGTGTTAACAACATGCTTTAAGTCATAGAAATGACAAAAAGGACACAAATGTCATTAAGAGAAAGTCAAGCAAAGCAGGCAACTTCAACCTTACAGGCACCAAGGACCATAACACAGCACAGGTGAGTGTGTCTGGGCTCCACATGTCAGTCATCTGTGGGATGCACTGGAAAAAGTCAGCAGAAGACCTCCAGGGCTCAGGATTGTGAGAAGATGAACCAAAAGCAAGTTGGAGTACACTAAGAGGCAACCTACATAATTGCCCACAGCAATTTAGTTTATTTAATTAAGTGCATTAACACTGGTAAATAGAGATTTGGATATTTGTTACAAGAAAGGGAACAAATGTGATTTTCTGTAGTGTCATAGTTAAAAGCAACAAAACAAGCAAAGTACAGTTTGCTTACCCTCTTCCTGCAGAAAAATGAGGCCCAATTGGGGCTCAGTGGACCACCTAGGAGTTCATAAATAGGCTGGGGAAAAATTAAAAAAAAAAAGTAACCCCCCATATCATTCTTGATGAGGATGTCACCAGTGGCTGGCTGCCCTCAGGACAGTGCCACAGCCTCCAACTCTATCCCTTCACTGCCCTTTGCTTCTGTCCCGGCACAAACTGCACTAACTTAAATGAGTTTGGGCAAAGAGTAAGTGTCTGTAGACATTTCTTCTGCTTTAATTTCATCTTATTTTACAGTGCATCTTCAGTTTTAAAACTCCCAATGGGTGGCAGTTAACATCACTGAATGATCATTGCAACTTGGTAAATGCGGACCTTAACTCAGAAGTCAAGTTCTACATTTCAACAGTGTCAAACATTAACTTCAGAAGTTATCTAGGTTAAAATTAAGAGCTTTGAAAAAAAACTACTTTTAAGCCCTAAAGAGTAAGTTTGGACTCTATTGCTTAGCCAACTGGTTTTCAGTGTATTTAAGAGATACAGGGAGAGACGACAAATTCAGCTAAATTTTAATACTGTGGTCAAAATACTGAGTATAATTAGTTAAAGTACCTACAGAACTTTGTTTTTAAATTCCCACTTAAGGTAGCTAAATAAAGCAACTTCTATTATGTTTCAGAGCTTATAATAATTAAAGTTTACAGTAAATCCATGGAGTTCAGTAGAATTGACTGGCTATAAATCTCAGAGCATAAAACTGGCTTGCAGAGGTAGCATGTAAGTGATTCCCAATCTTTCTGCAAGGTGCCAGCCATTGAGAGAGCTAATTAGTCAGTCTTTGATTAATTGCAGGCAATATAAGAGCCAGGGTCAATCTACTCAATTAGGTGAAGGTCTGCTGGAGATCAGAGATGTAAATCAAAACCTGCAGCAAAAGCCTCAGTACAAGATGGAACGTGCCAGCAGTTTTTATTCTCTCCAAGGACCTCTCTCCCACAAGCAGCCTGTTCTCCAATCACAGCTGTTACGTGGATCATAAAATCACAGAATGGTTTGGGTTGGAAATAACGTTAAAGATCGTCCAGTTCCAACCCTCCTGCCACGAGCAGGGACACCTTCCACTAGACAGGTTGCTCAGAGCCCCATCTAACCTGGCCTTGAACAGTTCCAGGGATGGGTCATCCACAGCTCCTCTGGGGCAACCTGTGCCAGGGCCTTACCACCCTCACAGTCAATAGTTTATTCTTAACATTTAATCCAAACCTTCGTTCAGTTTGAAGCCATTCTCCCCTTTTCCTATCACTGTGTGCATGGCTGCACCCACCGCGGTCCCAGCTCCAAACAGGCAAGCCTCATGCTGGTGTGGGATAGGAGGGAGGGCACATAAGGGGGGGACAGCAAAATAAGGCTCAATGGAAGACAAAACCCAGTGGGAAGCTGTAACTC